GTGTGTGTGTGTGTGTGTGTGTGTGTGTGTGTGTGTGTGTGTGTGTGTGTGTGTGTGTGTGTGTGTGTGTGTGTGTGTATGTATGTGTATGTGTGATGTTGGTGTTGCTGCTGCTTAACATCTGAGCTTGTGTTTTGAATGGCCGCAAACGCAGTTGCAGCCGCAGATATATCCACAGACTTCGGCTGCCTAATGAGGCAGCGGGACAACAATAAGCGCTGCCACAAAAGCAACTGCAGCAGCAAGAATGATAACAACAACAATAACAGCAACAACAACAGCAACGACAATGGGCAGCCAAAGGGTATTTGGCAGCAAAGCTTTAAACATGGGCATTGCGCATAAGCGTTTTGGCTAATTTGTGTGTGCACGTGTGCGGTCATGTGTGTATCATTGCGTAAGTGTGTGGATAGCATTAATGAAGTGCCAATGACAATGTGTGTGTGCTTGCTTGCACACTAAGCGTGTCTGTGGGAACTCAAACAAAAGCGTAGTGAAAAAGTGCTGCATACTTTTGGTCAACGTCAATTTGCAATTGAAAAGAATGACAATGGCTGCACGCTTGTAGCCATAGTTCACAGCTCATATATGTCACACACACACATTGATACACCTAATGCATACAGATGCAGGCGGTTGGGTGCTCATGTGGCACGCCTTTAAAACAAAGTGGCACAAAAATGACATTACACAAAAAGGGATTTATTTAGTTTATTTGCTGTATATCAGCAGCCATAACTGTCAACTGTTTGTTGTTGTTTGCCTGCTGTGAGGGTGAGCTACTGTAACTGCTACTGCTACTGCTACTCCTGCTGCTACTGCTGTTGTTGCTGCTGTTACTGCCTGAACTAGAGCTTTGCTGCATGACGGCCATCATCATCAATCATTTTGATTTGCGCTAAAAACTATGCTCTGCTATGCTCAGCCATGGGAAGCTGCATGGTAAAATACAACAACAACAACAACAACAAACACACACACCCGCACTCATATACGAACAATAAAATTCAGCTACAGTAACAGCAACAACAAGGGACATGTGAAATGACAACAACAATTCATGTCGACAAGTTGCGTTTGCATTTTTCTGATGCCCTTCCCAATGGGTTTCCTAATTTGATGACGTAAAATGTATCGCCCGGCAGGACTCTTTCATAATCTTCATGTCACAAAAGTACAAAGTTTTTTGAAGCTCAAGATAAGAATGCGAATGCCAGCAGATAACACTTTTGCCGAGAAGAAGAAAGGGTTTTATTCTAAATTATATTATTTGAAAATATCGTAACATATATATGCTCTTTTTGAAAATATATCAAAAGAAGAATTTCTGAATATTTTAGCTATTTAATAACTCTCCAGCAGTTCGACGAGAGTATCTGGTTATCGGGCATACACGACTGGAAGACTCATTTGTTTTTTGTATTTGATGCATTTAGTAAGTATTTTCTAGTCCTTGGTTTTATTTGCGACTAGCAAATACATTTGCATGCAAACACACATAATGTCCATCCCGCTGTCTCCTCTAGCCACTAGCTGCTACACTGTTCGCTGTAAGTATGCATACCCTATGCATGCATTAGTTTTAGCTGCTCGAGCAGTTAATAGATAAGAGAGGAGGATCGGGGCGGTGAAGCTTGCAGGGGGGAACGAGTTGCTTAGTCGGATGGTAAAATATTTTTACGGCTCGCTCGTAAAGCTGCTTGTCAAATATTTTTACAGCATTTTAAACACATTGCCCGCTGTAGAGGCAGATACTACACGCAGCACGCTTACTGAATGGAAATACATGGGACAATATATATGGGCACATAATGAAATTTTAATTAAGCCCAAGCAACGGCGGCAGTAGCAGCAGTTGCAACAGCTGAAGGCGCTCGAAATGTGCGTCTTTTAATGCAATTTATAATTACTTACATGCAACAGCCACGGCAGCAAGTAAGTATTATTGTACCACTGCCAATGCCTCACAGTCCATTTCACTGCCACATTCTCAAAAAGGTTGACCTGGGGCATGGGGTGGTTGGGGTGCCGCTGTCAGTATTTGCTCCGCCGTTGCCCTTTGCGAATCAATTAAATTAAAACACTCTCGCAATTGTTGCCCATGCAAATGCACTGAACGGGCAAATGAATACGTCAGTCAGCAAACCGGGCAAATTAATGAATAAACGAACATACGAATGAATATATAAATGAGTGTCACATTGTTCGAATGTACTCGATTGATGACTCCATTGCTTTCACTTAAGCTTAAGTTTAAAAAAAAAAACTTATCAAGAAAGAAATTGTTAAAACAATTTATTTATTTTTTTTTATTATTGGTAAGACTCTGTTGCTGTCAGTTGTGTTTCTTTTGCTTACAAAGTTATAAACTTTTTGAAATGAGAGACCTATTTTGGGTCTTATAAGCTTTTAAGTTTTTATATACTCAGCAAAAATGAATCTTCAACTGATTTTCTCGAAAATAAACATTCTTTTTGTAATATAACAGCTTACAAACTATATATGTACTCTTTCGGCAGTTAAAGATTCGATAGAGTCTGAAATAGAATAATTTTCTTGAAATTCCCTGATAATTCTCAGCTTTTTCTCCTTTGGAAACTTCTCAAGTGGCTACTTTTTGTCCACATTTGGCAAACAATTTTTAAGCTGCTAATTCTCAATATTTCCACATCTTTTTCTCCCTAATATCCAACTCTGTGTTTGTCTGTCTCATCCTGCAAAAGTTATCGTAAGGCAGCTTGCCAACCCACATAAATCAAAAGCTTGACATAAAACCTTGAAATGTTCAATATGAATTCAGCATATATACTATGTGTATCTCACTCTCACTCCCGCCTTGTCTCTTTCGCTCGGTGTCTTTGTGTCGCAATGCCACTCCCAAATTGCACTAATCTCATGGGGAGCGCTCGCTGCAGCAGGCTGTTGGCCTCTGGTTTTCGCTTTCGCTCAAAACTTTCTAATAATTTCTATTTGAAAGGCGGTCCAAAAGTTGTGCGTGGTGTGCAAAACTGTCATATTTCATAAGTCTCTCGGGCAGGGGGCTGTAACAGGGTGTTGGGCGTGGGGAACGGCAGTGTGTAAAAGAGAGAGGGGCGAGAGGGGAAGCGCCTGTCTGTGTATAATTACATGGTTCAACTGTCACGGCGAAAAACAAATAAATGAGTTTCACTCGCAAAACTTTGCTAGTAACAACGGCAGCTTGGCTTATGGCTTCACCATATCGAATACACATGCCACATGCACTTTGTGGCCATCGATCGCTGCTGCTACTGCTGCTGCTGCTGCCGCTGCTGCTGCCGCTGTATTTGCTGCAGCACATGCATCAAAATTCGATACGCATTCATTTTGATGCCCTTTTCGGAGTAAAGTTTTATGATGCAGAAATGTTGAAAACTTTGTTGCCGGACGACATCCATATGCTGCTCCCCAAAATAGATACACAGGCTGGCAGATACAGCGGGCCGCAGGATAGTTGGTTGAGCTGTTTGACAATTAAAGCCAAACAATGCCTGAATTCCAGTCAGATTGAAGCCAGCCAGCCCTGCTTGTGTTGGCAACAAGTTTCGACCAGGTTGTCAAATCGATGCGAAATACCTGAGCTCCGGTCCGAGCATTTGAAATTAATTCAGATTGCAATTCTCTGAATTATACGCATCACCAAACTATGATTTCTCATGAAATATTAATGCCGGCATGCGACATTTGATATTTTCCGCAGGCAGCTTTTTTTTGTGCTTTGGATGCCGCCTCCCACCACGCCGCAACGATTCTGAATCCAAATGCTAAACGCAGTCAGGGCCAACTTCGTTATCATTGTCAACATGCCATTGAGTCGAGTCCGCCGATGCCCGCATCCGTTGCCCCCGTTGTCTCGGCATAATCAGAGCAATTCCAAAGTTGTGTCTGTCAAAAATGCTGGCACAAAATGTGGCCATCCATGGTGCTCATCGTTGTCGTCCACGTCCACATCCACGTCATGCTCAACGCTGTCTGCGCCTCGTGACATTTTTTTCGTATTTCTTTTTTTTTTGTGGCACTTCCTTTTTGACACCGGCGTTCCGCTACGTTTCACGGGTGTCCTACCTGCTCAGCTACCGAGCCCATCGCCGCACGTCTAATGCCCCCTCGGCTTCGGTGTCTATCAATGCCAGCGATTGTCCTGCTGCCGCTGTCGCTGCTGCTGCTCTGCTCTGCTGCCAGCCGGCAGTGAATTTATCACACGAGCACGTACGCATATTTCTCGGCGTTGGCCCTTTTGCCGCTCGCCTTTCCCCTCTTTCCATTATTTTGTTTCTGGTGGATTGGATACGTTGCCGAAAAGTGGCACGATTGCTTCATTGCAAACGTCGTTATGCTCAAGTGTCGCACACAGATTAGTTAATGTTCTACTTTGAATGTGTGTCGGGGTCGCCAAAGGTGTGGCCACTGGCCGACATGCTTATCTCTGCTGTTGCACGTGCCCCATGTGCTCGATGTCGCTGGTTGTGTGCGCGTGTGTGTGCGTGGCGCCACTCAATGCACCTGTTCAAGCTCAGCGTCGCACGCAGCAGCGCGCACTCGAATCGTGAATTTGAATGTCTTAATTGCATCCTGTTTGTGGCAAATTCACTTCTGCAACAATTAAAAGCCAATTTTGTAGCGCGTCGACAGCTGGCAGCGCTCTGGGGTTTCTAATCAACGGAGCAGCGGGTGGTGAGCGTTGCCATTCGCAGGGAGGTGGCGTTGGTAGCCCAGGGACACCGGCCCCGCCAATGGGTCTCCTTTTCGCAATTCTCTTTTATTTCCGCTGTGCGACAAAAATTTCCAGACATTTGCTTAATTTAAGGAAAGAAGCTGCAGTTTTCAAACATATTCGAATACCCTTTTACAAATATCTAAGTTGCTTTGAACAAAACCTTCATCTTTTCGAACCTAGACTTAACCTTAACCGAAGCTTGTTGCTACCAAAAAATTTTTGAAATATATTTGTCAGCCTATCAATAAAATGAAAATAATTTATTTTACAATAGATTGACGTTAGATAGAAAATTGTAAGGAATGTGACGAACTTCTCCACAAATATGGGTTCATAGATGTTCAAAGCCTGGTTTTCAAACCGATCTTTACGAGCAGGAATTCAACACGTTTACACAAACAACTCAACAATTAATTGAATTTCGATTTTTTTAGTCAACTAACTCAAGAATAATTTTAAAGCTCAAGCTTCCCTCATATACATGCACAACTGAATAATTTGGACTCGAGAATATTTTAGCATTTTGTAGTTCCGATAACCAGTTCTATTTTGGGGCTAAAGCCCGGTCCCGTTCTAGTCTCTCTCCGCACGCGTGTCAAAGCTCGCGCAGTATTCGTTAGACGCGCTAAAAGGGAATCATTTAACGAACATTAACATTCCGCCCACAATTTGGCTTGGCTGATAAAACTGCGCACTTTTGCTTTGTCGTCGTCGTCGTCTGCAGCTGCAGGCAGCGACCCAGACAGGATGTAGCGCAACAAAGGGTGGTCGCTAATTAAATTGTGCTGCCTCTCAAGGTACGCAGGTACTTTATTGTTATTGCCTCACATGCAGCGCGTGGTGATCAGCAACGGATCGCACTCGCCGGCAAAGTCATCCAGATTGGGCGCACTCTGGCGATAGAAATGCGGCGGCACAATCAACACTTTGCCGTAATTTGGAAGGGTTATCACTGGCGATATCTGTCGATGATTCTCGGCCTCCTGAGTTGGCTGTTGTATGCCAGAAACTGGTAACCAAATGTAGCTACGCGTCTGCAGAATGTCCTGCCAATGCAAGCGATTAGCGCGACAAATTTGGCCGATTGTCGTTCCGTATTTGAGCGCCAGGTGTGCCATGGTGTCCTCGTTGCACACCTGATGACGCGTCCACAGCGCCAAGCTGCCGAGCTGATGGCCACTCAAATTGGCCGCATCCTGTGGAAGCAGCGCCCCCTTGGCGCACATTATCGCTGGTGACTAGAAATATGAGCTTTTAGTATCGAAACATATCATAAATAGTATATATTTATGTATTGGGAATTATTGTAAACGAAGCGCCAACTCAACTCTTACGAATACAACGCATCATTATATTCACATACTCCACTGCACGGTACGAATTCCGCTGGCCTTTTCATGGTCTGATTGGTGCTTTATGCAAATCACTTCACATACATTTGTTGGCCGCAACTCGAGCCTCGTAATCAAGTCTTGTGCGGCCAACGCGGCGTAAACGCAATCAGCGATTGTGGTAATCGCCAGATTGAATACGTCGTATGTTGAATGTGTTTTCAATTGGGCTTGCTTAGAGTCGGTTATCCCTCTCGACCTAAGTATTCAAGAGTAACGCACAGGTGTTTGCTATTTTAGGGCCATTCATTTAAAGCGGATTGATAAATAATCATTTCAAATTATTCCGAATAGGGGCAGAATAAATAATTATTTTTTCGAAATAGGATGGAAAATCCGAGCAGCTAGAATCGTAGACTAGCGTATGCATGTACTAAGTATTAATTTGGTTATTATACCTAATAATTATATTTGATTAAATTATACGAAGTTTATAGAAATAATTTAAAAGTCTTCGCATATTTGCATCAATATTTTGGGCACGTCATGTTTGCAAATGTATTTGATTGTAGGTTCAATGTAAATTACAGCTTTTCCTTGTTTTCATAATAAATTTCAATCAACGCAACAAATGTGGCTCGATTGGATGCACACTGGGAATGCCGCTTGTTCATGTCGCAGTCCTGCAGAAATATGTGAAAATGATTCAAGGCAAAAGAAATGGGAAAACTCTTTGCCGTTACGCTGAGCTGAGTGATGGCGTGGTAAGGGGTAAGGGGTAGGGTTTCGCTTTGGAAGTAATCTAGTGTAAAGCCATTTGATGAACCCTCGATTCAGTTGAATTCGATATGACATCATTATGGATATGGGAGGGGGTGAAATGTGGCTTTGAACCGTTATGAAAATTATTTACCCATATCATATATTTCAAACTGATTTCGAAGGGGGAAAAATTTAAAAATGATCTTAAAATATTTATAAAGTGAACATTATGGAATATACGAAGGAGAAATACTCAGAGGATAAAGACATACCAACCTGTGCAAGGAGACGCGTCTTTGTAACAATCATGCTTTTCCTAGGAATGGCCAATGCGTATGTTATGCGCACCAATATGTCCGTTGCTATTGTAGCCATGGTCGACCACACAAGCATCACGAACGACCCCAACTCAACTCGGTATGTTGGAGATAATCTACACGGCGAGTTCAAATGGAGCTACAAGCTACAGGGCTACATATTGGCCAGTTTCTTCTATGGCTATGTTTTAACACAAATCCCATTTGGATTTCTTATCAAGAACTATGGATCCAAACATTTCCTTGGCTGGGGAATGATGATCAACTCTTTGGCCGCATTTCTAGTACCAATTTCCGCCCGAAAGGGTGGCTATATGGCTCTCTGCGTGGTTCGCTTTATTCAGGGCCTCGGTGAAGGTCCCATTGTTCCCTGTTCACACGCCATGCTGGCCCACTGGATACCACCCGATGAGCGTTCACGTTCTGGCGCCGCTGTCTATGCGGGAGCCCAGTTTGGCACCATTGTATCCATGCCGCTGAGTGGCCTGTTAGCGGTTCATGGCTTTGACGGTGGCTGGCCTTCGATTTTCTACGTTTTTGGAATTGTAAGCACATTATGGAGCGTGCTATTTCTTTGGCTGGTCCCCGAGGATCCAAGCGTCGCCAAGACCATCAGCGAAGCGGAGCGCAAGTATATCATTGAGGCCATCTGGAGTACACAGCCAGCTAACAATACAGCTAAAACCCCAATTTGTAGCATATTTAAGTCTGTGCCTTTTTGGGCAATCATGATAGCGCATTCGGGACAGAACTATGGCTATGAGACGCTGATGACAGAGCTGCCCACCTACATGGCAATGGTAATGAAGGTGAAGCTGAAAGCGAATGGTTTTCTCTCCTCGTTACCCTATCTGGCCATGTGGATTATGGCCATAGTGTTTTCTTTTATTGCCGATAGGCTGATTCGCAACAATATGAGCATTACCTTGGCACGCAAGATTATGAACAGCCTTGGACAGTATGGGCCGGCGGTAACACTCCTCGCCGTTGGATATTGTTATCAGAGTTTGATATTAACTGTGGCTTTATTCACCATCGGCATGGGCCTTAACGGTGCCATCTATTCGGGCTTTAAGATCAATCACTTGGATCTCTCGCCAACCTTTGCTGGCCTTCTTATGGCCATGACTAATTGCTGCGCAAATCTGATCGGCCTTACAGCACCCATGGTCGCCGGACATGTGATCAATCAGGATCCCTCTATCGTCAACTGGCGCATTGTGTTCCTCATCTCGTCCGCCGTTTATGTCACATGTGCCACATTCTATCTAATATTTGCTTCGGGCAAACGACAATGGTAACAATAAAAAAATTAAAACTCGATTCTGCTGCTGTGCAAACATCAATTATTTGGCTTATAGCCTGCGGCAGTTGTTCGGCTAATGACGAGCCAACATGTCACAACACACAGCAGCGTGTCCACGCTGAACTGATTCTGAACAAAAACATCAATCAAAAATTTCCGTGCACTTGGCGCATTTTGTAGCCCTTAGCCTCGCTTATCATTTTATTTTGCATTCGCACGTGTAAGGCCATACAAGGAACCTGAATTTATACCCCCCCAATCAAATACTTTCACTGAGTATTTGATATGAAGAAGTTGCACATATGTTAAACCAACCTTAGACCTCTCCCTCTGCCAAAGCCCTTAAGACCTGTCACTTAAAAGATGATCAATATTTATATATGTATATATATTATAATGCCCATGAGCCCATTGATAATGGGTAAGAAGGGCATAATATTTTTACCCACATGTAGGTAACAGACTTAAGGGAGCATCACCGACCGAATAGACGACTCTTCATTCACTTAATACTTATGTAAAAAAATATCTCCAGCTATGAGCAGATTCCTTGTAGTGAGTAGTTCTATATGTTTAAAACAACTCCTGACTACGACCAGTCTTAAATGCAATACAGGGTATGTTAATGTCGTATAGTCTACCAAATCATACCCGCATGCATGTCACTTGATTGTACAAAATGTTCATGTTTCATGTTGGGGTAACAAGTATTGTGGGCTGCCTCAGTTACAAATGTTGTGCATGAGATTTGGTTTTACTGTAGTTCAGGTTTTTGGCTCATCGTGCTCAACACTCGCTCACTCGCCCACCCGCCCATATCCGTGCTTCCTTTTAAGTATTCTGTACATTTATTTTATAAATGCCATACATGTACAGATATACCTTTTTCTGCCCGCGGAAATGTGACCGGTTAAAGGTATTAAGTCCAGCTCAGTCCGAAACTCAAATACCAAAATATTTTTTTAAATAATCATTCCATAGTGCCTGGAAATATAGATAACTTATTCTTATGAACCACAGCAGAAAGGTTTTTTAATCCTGCTATTTCTAATATGTTGTATCGCTTTTGAGACATTGTTTTGCAGGTTCTCACACAGAAGAAGTAAATTAAGAATACCTTACTCATTACCCTCAAAATTGCAATGAAAACGCATATTAACAGGTGGAGGCTTGTGCTTTGGTATCTGCGCTAACTTTTGTTGCAATATATAAGCCCTGATTGGATTTTAAACAACTAAGTTAATAAAGAACGCATTTCTTTCAGTGTAGGACGCAGCAAGCCACGTGATTTCGTGTGCAGGGTATTGCTAGTCGAGCAAGCCTGACAAGAGCACTTTCGCCTGCTTTTAATGAAGCTGCCGTAGCTTAGCTTGTCTGCTGGTAGATAAGAAAATGTACACACGTTAACAAATTAAGTTGGCACACACTTTCATCATCATATATATATATATATGTTTGTATGCATGTACGTATATGGCAAATCGCATAAGGCTTCTCGGGTGTTGACGTCTTTATCGTTTAGCACCCACAGCGCGCCGCGCACTCGAACTGGCGAAACTCAACTCAAACCTAATTTGGGCAAAACCACAGCGAATAACCCAAACTGGTAGCGCCTCAACAAGTTTAAGCCGCTTAAGTAATAATTTGCGTGCACATCAAACAACGCCCAACGCACGAGCAACCCTTTCGGCGACTGGCAGCCCCACACCCGAAATGCTCCACCGCGACATAGAAGCAATTCCTGACAGTCGTTAGATACACTCGCTTGGCTACAGATGCAGATACTCCCATATATATACACACACACAGAGACGAACACACAGAGGCACACACACCTGCAGCTAGCCGCAAAATGTGTGTCAGTGTTGTAATAATCAGGACATTTTGAGCAGCAGTAGGCGAACCAAAAGTTGGTGGGGCAGTCGGCGGTGGCACAGTTTTTGGCCAGCATGTTTGCCTGTCTGCACGCCGCGTTCTGTCGCCAGCGAAGCGTCTAGATAGGGTGCATACGTAATTGGGTTTTCGCCTGATTCAACATGCGCCAAAATGTCAAAGTATTCCGCAACACTGGTCGACCGGATTGTGCGTCGCTCTGTGGAACTGCAACTGAAATGGATTCACGGTTTTCTTTACTTATTGCGATTCCAATTGCGATTATGATTGCAATTGTGATTGCGCTTTTCGTGCCAGCCGTCTGTTACTTGAGAATTATAACGATTTAAAGAGCCGGGGCTGCACAACGCTGCAGTTGCCAAAAGAGTAGCAGCAAAAAGGTGGGAGCTCTTGCATTGTTACTTGCACTTACAATTTAAATGTTTTAGTATGTATTCTATAAACATATTCATAACAAATATTTGGCAATTACAGAACCTAAATAAACTTTATTTCGAATAAACATAAGTTCGTCTTTTTTTTTTGTAGCATAGCTTCTAGTTGAGCTTCGTTATCTAAAATACTTGTTTTGCTTTTATTAGGTAATTTTTTTACCACACAAAATTACGCTGAATAAAAATCGGGACAGAACAGTGCGAACAGCAATTTTATTCGAAATTTAAAACGATGCTAAATTGGAAGTTAACCGATTCCAATTTACATTTTACGACTTGCAGAGCTACATTTTAATAGTTTTTTTTTTCTATCTCTCGGATTCCAGCGCTTAGCTAAATGTTGCCAGTTCAAATGTTGGCACTGGTAATCCCCACTTAACGTTTCAGTGTTATTTATTTAAAATTTGTATTTCTTTGTTTGTTATTGATATTTTCCAATGAGTGGCAATATTTTGTAGTGTTTTTTTTTTTTTTGTTTGGCAATTTATGTAGAATCGAAAGGTCAATTTAATACGTAGATGTGCGGCTCCAAGGCTAGCAGAAATGTTGTCGAACTGGGGGATTGCACTTACAAAAGGTGTTGTCTCTGTAGAGCTCTTCGCGACCCTGTCGAGCGCATTTAAATATTACCATGTATACATAGCGCAGAAAGATAAGTCTTTGACTCCATATGCAGTATGTCCTCTTGGTCGGTATTAACAGCCTATTAGCCATGCCCGTCTGTCCATCTGTCTATCTTTCCGTCTGTCATATTTAATCAAACGAGTCTCTCAGTCTTTCAATTTCGTACGTGAAAATTGGCTGGCATTAAATATATGATCGGTCGAAAATTAAATCGTGTTTGAAATACATTATTGTATATCAAGATATCGTAAACATATTTTGTATTTACGAGTTTTGCAATACTCATAACGTATGTAAAAAGCTAGGATTAGGATATCAATGTTATATATCAGCTTTATACATGTAGCTTTATAAAAGGAATTGTCCGAAAAACTTTGTTTGTAATACTTTTAAGTTTTTCAGGATCTTTTCTTAACTAAGCATTTAAATATTGCGTGTTTCATTTTCTCCTAATATACCAATCAAGTAGGAACAACTTCTCTACTTCTATACTTCTATATGGAACGTATACTCATTTTATAATAATATTAGTCGATCTTTTTTGTTCTAGTTCCCTTATCTATTCGCTGAATTGCCAAAGAAGAACAGCTGGTTAGATGAGTTGCCCCGTTTTAGTATTCGTCTAACGTAAAAAATTTGTATTCCTTAATTTCTAGCGAATAAATTAAAGTTTTTTTGTTAGTATTTCGAAACTGATGATTTCGTATCTGCTGGCTTCTTGTTATAATTGAATATGTGGACTCAACTTCTCGTTACTCAAACAAGCGCTAAAGTTTCTAGGCCAATGGGTAATACATTTTTATGCAACTACATCGTAAAGGGAAAGTTGCATGGCATAATTTTCGAAGCTTATGTTTTCGCTGTCACCGACAGAGATTGATGACAAGCCATGGTATTAAAATCTCATGTGCTCTGGCCAATTGAAGCATTGTCCGCTGCGTACTTCTAATGTGCACTTCAAACACAGAACAAAAGAATTTTGTGGCTTGAGCTGTTGAGAGTTTATATTTATGCAACGAGACCACAACGTTAACTTCGGCATGCTATTGAATCGTAATAAATAAAATCAATCTGACAACGAGAGGCAAATCAAGAACAGACACAGGACACTCCACCCCAAAAATGTCCAGTACTTGACATTCTCTGCTCAATATTGAACTTTATGAAATATACCTGGGATGAAGACGCTCAACTTTTGTGGCTCTCGAATAGACGAAGTTAATTGCCGCATGCCAAACGTCTTTTAGCACAACAACATACAGCAACATATATTGAGGCTGCAAACCGGTTTGGAAACAAACCGAAACGAGCCGGGACTATCAATTATATGTTTTTTGTAAGCAGAAATTTGAACCAAACTAGTTGCACAAAAAACAGTCAAACTAAAAACCTATCCTAAGCAAATCACACTTCAGAAATGCTTCGATTTATGATACAAAACTATGAGAGAGATGCCAAAAAGATTTTCAAGCATTTTCAATTTTCGGGTACAGATAAATTTCGGCCCTCGTCTTGAACATAAAAATACATACGGATTATTGTTATTTTTAAGAGTTGGGGCAAGTTTAAATTAAGAAACGAATTGTTTTATTCAGAATTTGAAAAAAAAAAAAAAATGACAAACCAAGGTTGAACCCTATCTTTCATAAAAATCACGTTCACGAATCGAAGCTCAATGCAAAGAGTTGACTCGAACCGAATTCCCCCCTTTTTTACCGATTTGCAGCGCTGGTGCGTATATGGCGTGCGCGGCGCAGTATAAGGCCTGAACAAATAACAAAACAGTTCCATGTTGTTGCTTTGAGTTTGTGGGGCGTCAGTTGTTTTGCTGGCATTTTTCATTACTCGCTCGCATGTTCACATTATGAGACAGAGTATGGGAGAAAGTGAGCGGGGATGTAGGCAGACGGATGCACAGGGTGCGGGTCAAACTATTGATTTATTTATTTACAATTGCATACAATATGCAATATTTTTTGTGCAATATTGTTGCGCACACAAAAAACAAATTGAAAAACAAAAGCACAACATCATTGACCCAAATGCAACTTT